TAAAATNTTAAAAATGGCGTCGAATGGCCAATCATAAGATTGATTTATTCGACAGCCATTTATAATACCGATAAATCAATCTTATGATTGGCCATTTGCAAGTCCAATCAGGACTCGTAACACCGGTCGCGCTTCTCTGATAATCTAGGACTCTACCCGCATTTCGGCTTGACTCCCTTCGCCTAAGTTACGACTCTATGCTTCGTCCCCTTATATTCCTATGTCCATGCAAATGCTACACCATAACCTATTTTGGATTGATAAAGTTATTTATTTTCAAACGTCTATTGTTGGTAATTAAGTTATAAATTTATCATGTCTATGTAAAATTATGAGAAAAAGCAATATGTTGTCATAAATAAGCTGTCTTTGAATTAATAACGTTGATGCTATAAACGTTGATGCTTTATAGTTAAATAAGTAATACGAAAATTAGCAATGTCTGTTTTAATAAGAACACTATATACATTTATTAATATTTAGGTTCTCTGAAGTATTGAGTTTTGCCTTTATAATATATTGCGCGCACGCGTTTCCTTTTTCTTTCGTTTTATTTCTTGTGACTTATTATATTCTCTTCAGAGGGACAATGACAAAAACATAATGGTATTGCACCTTTTTTAACTTCTTTTTTACTACCCACTATTATTAAATCTGATGCTACAAATTAGTGTATCTGAAATAGAGAAAGCATTAAATGAAAGCACTTTTAAAACTATTTTAATTTGATTCTTGCATGGTAATCAATCCTACAATAAACACTAATTACTTCACACAATCTAAGATTCTCTAAAGAACGTTTGGCATTCTCGCCCAAAACAGCATTTGACCATGCTTTTCAAAAATAATTTTCCTGAGGGAATTGGAATAACGCGTATCTTTTACTAGATTTATTATAGCATCTTGGTGTGCAGCAAACATTTGGCATTTAAAAAAATATAAAATTTAAATCAATAATAAAAATTATATTAATAAAACAGACATTTCTAATTTTTGCACTATTTATTTAACTATAAAGCATCAACGTTTATTAATTCAAAGACAGTTTATTCATGACAACATATTGCTTTTTCTCATAATTTTACATAGACATGATAAATTTATAATTTAATTACCAACAATAGACGTTTAAAAATAAATAACCTTATCAATCCAAAATAAGTTATGGTGTAGCATTTGGCTCTGAACTATGGAGCTCAATTATGCGAAAAAACCCCAGCCAATCAGAGTTCACTTACAGTCATGTGATGAGTTGGCGAGTCTCTACTTTTAGAGTTTCTAGTTTCCAGTCAAAGGCGCCGCTATGTCTCTTATACTCTATGTATATAAACCCTTTGGTCTTGAGACTCTTGAGTTGCGTGCTCTTCAAGATAGAAGTGTTTTCTGTTGACGAAATGGCGCAATTTAGTACTCAGGAATACACCGATATGGTTATCATGTACGGTGTAGCCGGAGAAAGCGCTCGTGCCGCCGCCCGTCTCTACGCGGAACGATTTCCCAAACGCGAACGACACCCCGATTCCAACGTCATTTTAAGATGTATCCATCGTTTGCGAGAAACAGGAAGCGTGTTGCCTAATCGGCACCACGTTGGTGCAAGAATGCAGGTTGGCGTGAACAATGAGGAAAAAATCCTGCGAGCGTTTGAGAATAACCCCAACAACAGCGTGCGCCGTGTGGCTCATGAACTCGGTCTGTCACGATACGTGGTGCACCGTACTCTACGCGACTACGAATTGCATCCGGATCATTAGAGAGTGCAGCAATTTCTCCCGCGGGATGAAGAGGGCGTCTACTTTTGTGAAGGTATTTTCATTATTTTCGTAAAATGTTTGAGCTGTTATTAAGAAATACTATCAGCAAAATGCACATATTAGGATTATTCGCGCAGTGTCGGCGGAATGCTCTTTTCCCCGATCCTGCATTCTGTAGACGAACGAAACGATCTTCACACAGAACGACGTGTTCAACTGTCATAATTTTTTATTTTGGGCAGATGTAAATCCACACGCCATGGCGACAAGGCGCATTTTATCGCTGGTTGATAAATGTATGGGTAGGACGAGTAGTAGCGAACCGAATCGTAAGTAAATTTATAAGTTAAGAAACACACTCTCTTTCTCTCACAATGTTTGAAATTCACATTCTTTCGACAATTTTTCAGATTGGTTCCCGTTCCCTCCCGCACCTAAATGAAGAAAAGTACGCACATTTTTTGGGAGATGAGTTACATGGCCTTCTTTTTGCGAATGGGAGCTGCTTATATTTTCCAACACGACGGAGCGCACCGCGCGACGCGCAATATTATTCGAAGGGCCGAATCTGCTTACGAGACCGAGGAAGGCACTTCGAACAATTTTTACATTAAATTATGAGGTGGATTAAGCTTAATACCACATTAAAAAAAATGCTATCTACCGCAAGATGGTGTGGAAATGATAGCGCTTTATCATTTTCATGTCACGTACGTAAAGAAAATTATTTTTCAGCGCATAAACGCACGCACACACATACATACAAGAAAGACATTTTTTTCTATACGTTATATTAATATGTAAAAAATTGTATTTTGATAAAAAAAGGCGTGGGACAATCGTAATTCAAAATGGAAGGGCCAGCGCTACACGCGCTCGTGTGTAGCCATCGTCGTCTATCCCGACGCGCCTATAGCAACGACCAGCGATGAGGCAGTCGTATCTCGCCGCGTGCCTGCACTGCGCATTCAGCGGCGGGCTGGACGGATACGCTTTATTCTTCCCAATCTTCAAAAATTAATATCTCAACGATTGCAAATTTTGCAAAATAGTGGAGGACTTTTCTGTTCAGTTTAATCTGCTCTACCAGCCCACCAGATTTGATACGATTATTACTGGACACCCTGTATACACATACGCGCGCGTGCGTGTATATGTGTGTGTGTAAGCGCATACGTATGTACATGCGCATATATGTGCGTGTGCTTGCGTGCGTATACACGCGTGTATACGTGTATACGTGTATACGTGTTCACATTAAACACTGCAAATAAGATGGATATCCTGTAATTTGTCACTTCTACAGTGACTTTTGTGACTCCAAACCCATTTCTATCATTATTTTACAGTTTTCGAATTTTTTTTATTTTATCCAATTCACATCAATCTGGATCAAGTGAATCTCTGTCATTATCCGTAGAAGCATTTTGAACATACAAAGTGAGAACTAATAAGTTTCTTCTTGATCTCTTCATTTTTCTCTAAATGTCGGTAATATCCAAGACAAAATTAATGCAATATGTACACAGCAATCGTTTTCACACCGTTTCGACATTGACAATACCAATCAGTTATTAGATTTCGGGATATCTAATATTATCGAATTCACAGATTGTTTATTATTTTCTCTTGCAAATACATACACGTACACAAGATGTGCAAAGCCGATCGAGAAACCTCGATCCACGTGCATGTAGAGGTGATTGGCTAATGGAAATGTCGACAATTATATTATCATTTATATTATCTTGGCGAGAGAATCAAATATTTTTTTCGATTCTATTCCTCTTCATTTATACGGTCAGAACAAAATCGTAAGAGATCTATTTATTTTACACCATCTTCCCCTCTTTCTTTTCTAATAAGTCGATCTATTAAACTTATTATTGTTCTTTTTCTTATTTATTTATTTATTTTGAATCATAAAACGATCGTTAGTTCGAATTTGCAAGCTTTTTAAATGGTCTTGAACCACTATACATATGTGCATAAAGATTGCGCATTCGTGGATTCAACTCGCCGCTGGATGAATGTGCGCACACTTGCATTGCTCTCATCTTTTAATATATTCTAGGTGATAAGCAAGTTTTTGAGAAAGTTTGGTGAAGTGGAAATTCCAGGAACATTGTTAAAAAAAACTTCAATTATCGAAAAATGCTGTAAATCGCTCAAATTTAAAATGTAATAATTCATAAACAAGGTTTAGGATCATATTCTTTTAGGAAATTATGAGGCACATGTGGAGATACATTTTCTACAGTTTTATTTCAATTTGAGGGGGTGGGGGGCAAAAATGATCCAAATCGCAACTTCTTTTTTTAATTTTTTTTGTATAAGTATTTTAAGTATTAAAAATTGATTTATGCAAAATTTCATTGCGATGAAGAAATCAGTTTTTCTGCAAATAAAGAAATTTGTTATATGTATTTAGTTTATTTAAAGTATAAATATTAACACATTTTCAATTTTCATTTATTTGTTGCAGGGATTATATATGAGTAATACATCTTTAAATTAGAAAATAGATTATTTCCTATATATTCTGTTCCTTTATTTCTTTAAATGCAAGAATAATTTTTTCTTTTTAATTTTTTGTAAATTGTTTAAGGCAAAGAGGTGCTCTTTTCGAAAACGAGAAAAAGAAGTTAATATTATTTATTCTATTATTTCAACTTATTTTATGTCACTCTTTTTCCGTTTTTTGGCCCATCCTATATATTAAATTAAATTTTACAACTTAATAAGATATAACTATGTTATAATCTTATATTATAAATAAAGAAATATAAATACATATTTTAAATATATTTTATATAAAATACATTAAAATTTTCTTATTTATAATGTAAGATTAATGGTTAATATTTTTGGCTGAAAGAAACGTGATAAATATATTATATACAGGGTGTCCTATTTTAATCGATCACCTCAAATATCTCTTCAACAATGCATTTTAGAGAAAAATGTTTCAGACAAAAGTTTTGAGACTTCGAGGACATAAGATGATTGGTTTAATTCTGAGTGGCGTCGTCAAGGTCAGAACAAGGTAACTTTTTGTCTGAAACATTTTTCTCAAAAATGTTTTGTTTTCGAGATATTCGACCGTTTCCGGTGAAGACCCTGTATATCGATAAATATCTGTGTTAACTTGTATGCATGCGTTCAAATTTTTATAAAAACTACTCAAGTATTATTTTATATGTTTCAAATAAAATTAATAAAATTTGCAAAAGTTTAATGTTGCAATGACGTAATTCCGTTCGGGGTTCGTGACAGACTCATGTCGGCACTGGCAATATGCACGCGTAGGAGTGAGAAGAGTTGCACCCGCTTGTCGCGTTTATGGGTGCGGACGTGGGCGCCTTAGATTTTGTCTCTCTTTATCGCTCTCACGTTGCTAGCCGGTGTAAAACCTAACAACCGGCTACGAATTTTGTTGTTTGAATCATCATTGAATGGCTTTTTCGACATAAGCCAAAACATTGTTTATTGCAGCTTCTCTGGCGAGTTTTCTTGCGTTACACTATGTATCGATGCTCTCGATCGCAATTATAGTTTTGCCGTCGCAGTGTTTAGCGCGAAGCCGTCTTTAAATGAATAAACGGTAATGAACATAACAAAGAAAACTATAGCCACGACGGAAAACCAAAGACGGAAGAACGGCACAAGGAGCACGCAAGGTCACCGCCAGGAGTATGGCTGCCTTATCTCCGTGAGTTGCGTCGGTCGAGTCGAGCGCGTCGTTCGGGAGGTGGTGGTGATATTCGGGTAGCGAGCAGCAAAACGTGGAACCTGCAGACATTGGTGAGTCGAAACACGTAGTTGGGAAAAAGTTCCGCGTGGGGATGACGTAGGGTGGTAGGATGATAGTGGCAGGACAACAGAGACAGGGAGAGATATGCATTATATGCAAAAGAAACATAAAAAAGGCTAGAAATTGTGAGAATGACAGATCTATGATTTGTCATCACGATGATTCCGTACAACATTATTGTATCGCCACTATCAAAATTTATCCCTTTTTTTGTTGCTTGTTATACCATAAACTTTCATTTTAAAGATGCAATCAAAAATGACTAAAATATTATTCTTTTTATTTCTTAAATAATAAAATAGTTTTGTTTTCTATACATATATTGTGAGTTATATATATAAATTGATTTTTGAATATATCAAAATATCTAAAAAGAATGATTGAACATATAGTCCTCTTGCGTTTGAATGATTAGAAACAGTTAATTAAAGAAATAATAATAAATAAAATAAAGAGATTGTTTTAAATTTTCATCTAATTTTTCGGGTAATATTCTCTACTTGTAGTTTTTATTTGAAGTATTAGCATTAACAGACGCGCGCTTTGCACGCGTTATTTAATATTTTTTACTACATTTTCTATTACATTATATTAAACTCAATACACATAATACACAACTGTAAAAATATGCAATGGCTGCGTTCCGCAAAGCGCATTATGCGGATAATGTTTCATAGTATCCTTGTTGTTCATCAAATGTTAAACAAAGATAAAAGGATAAATCATGCGCATGATGCGCTTTGCGGAATGCAGCTAATGACAATCCCTCCTATGAAATAAACGCAGCGAGGCAACCAATCGGCATCGGATAAATGACAACAATACTTATTTACGGCAATCAGCTTGAACTTTTTGTCTTCAGATTGAGCATTGCAGAAAGAGTACTCTATTTATATTCCATAATATAATATTAATAATTAATATAACCAAAAACACAATACAATGGAAAGCTCGAGAGTTGTCTTCATGCTTATTTTCGTATTGATAAAAAGAATGATGGCGATAAATAATGTGGATATTTAACAGCATTCTGATTGGTTTTTATGTCTTATGCTATCGTAATCATGAAAGATGAAATTCAATTAATCATCTTCAGAATACACTTTACAATCAGTAGTAGTTTAAAATTGTGCTTTACGACATTTTACAATCATTTCCGACTATGTTTATATTATGGTAGAACAGTCTTAAGAGAATTAACTCAACTTTTCTTTTGACGCGTTACAATGAAAATAAGCCTTCTAAAAGTACGAAGAAAAGAATGAAGACAATGATCGAGATAATGATAAAACGATGATATCTTTTTTTACGATTACGACCGTTTACGATTAAAATGTTACACTAAACTAACTCTCAGGTCTATACTATTTCCGAATCATGAATATGGACAAATCAATTTTTGAAGACGCCGGAAAAATAAAGGGGAGCCAACCGAGATTTGAACATTCTTTGTTCTTACTCGTAGTACTTATTGTTAGGGTGCTGTCCCACAATTTTACTACTCTCATAATCATTTCGAATCATTTCCTATCAATATCTACTCAAATAGTAGATTCTAAATTCTTTTTTAATCCTGAAAATGATATGAATATGAAATGTATTCTTCTTCTATCCCATTTATAATCCAAAAATGTTCTTAGGAGGAAGGTCGGCTGAAAAGTCGGCCAAATTTGTACGAGATCGATAAAGGAGACTCTTCAGTGAATCTCTCAGTGGTATCTCTAAATGAACTTCTTACAATAATCTTCTGGTCTCACTCAAACACGTGGAATGTCCTTATCTAACTTATTAAAGTGCCATCTCTTGGAAAATCCGGCACTTACTGCC